ACGAAAGCTCCCGCCGCGCCCCCCGGGCTCGGGGAAGCCGGAACCGCCGTGGGGCTCTCCTCATCAGCCCAACTCTCACGGTGGGGACACCTCTTAGAGCTGTAATCCACACTTTCAGGGTGCAAAGCGGTCATGTGCAAGAATTGTTTAATCTGCATGCTACTATTTACATTTCAAAGACTATTTACACACCAGAACTACAATTAGCATCTCTCTCACAGGGGAGAGAGGAAGGCTTTCAAGACAGAGAAGCTTGAGCAAGCATCTCCACAGCTTCAAACTCTAAAGGGGCACCATCAAAATTAGGAATTCTGAAGCAAAGAGATCCTACTGCTACTGAAACAGACACACAGACAACTCAAATATTTGTGCATTAGCGGGAAAAATGAAAAAACAAACAAACAAACCACAACAGAAAGGCCTGTGAATAGAGTATTTAGAAAGCACAGGAGCAAGGACTGTGATGCCCTTTGGCAGGGCTGTAGGGAATTTCCAAATGGCTTTAAAGCCAGGGCTACCGCTGAAGCGACCAGACCTCTCATTAAGCAACACCAGCACCCTGTACAAATCGCCCAGCAGAGCTGCTTCAACACTTCACCAAAGCCACCAAGCCCGACAAACTTCTGAACAGCTACTCCACCTTAAACATAGTTAGACTGACCTCTGAACTCACACCTACCCCACCGCGGCACCAGGCAGGCTAGCAACTGCCCAGAAGTGGGACCGCCTGCCGCAGAGCTTATTGCTTTAGAAAATGAGGCCACGCAGCCAGCGGTTGTGTTCTGGTTGCAGCTCACCTGAAGTTTTCACAAAGTCTTCTGGAAGAAAGCTTGCTTGCATTTGGCAAGCTCTGACAATGTGAGACCGATTTCCAAGGCCTCCCACAAGCTTTCCAAACTATGCATCTAAACTGCTGAGTAGCTGCTGAGGGGGCATTTCCAGTACATCTCACCCAATCTGCAGACAAAAAATGTGGGATTTAAATGTGCAATATAGACAGCTAATCCCAAACATTCAGTACACATCCATCAAACAACCGCAAAAGTGAGGAAAATAAGAGTATTTCTTGGGAGCAGGAAAGGAGGAAGAAGCAGCATCTGTACCAATAAAAGACAAGCTCTAGAAAAATAAGTTATTTAGTGGTTTTTATAAGAACAGTCAGTCATTCTGGGACTCAGCAGAAGTGTTGCTCATTTGTGTGTACACGTGCAAGTAGCGAGAACAAGGTTTGCTCATCTCAGAGCATCTACCTTCCTATCAGTCTGACACTGCCAACGCCACGTCCAAGCAGACTGGAACTCAGAGAGCAGCATGACAAGACAGAAGGCCAATACAGTACGACTGCAGAAATTCAAGTAGAAGAATGAAGTTGTCTTCAGAAGCCCACAGCAGCAACAGCAGTATATCAGTGGCAACAAGGAATGTTTCTGTAACGCAGGATTTATTTTTTCTTTTTCTCCAAACCAAAGCACTGGGTCACAATCAAGGCTCCCAAGTGGAGGGGTTATTTCCTCAACCACACTGCTCTGATTTCTCCCCTCACCATTTTGTCTCAGGGCAGCAACACTGGTGCTGATGATCTGTCTGTCCTGCTGCTATCAGGCAAAACAGTGTGTCCCTTTGCGGGGAAACACCAGTGACTCCTCAAGTTGAGGAGTGGCTAAGAAAAACATAACACTGCGGTTAGGTGGAACCAACTTTATTAAGGACAGTGATTTATAATTGCTTTCAAAGGCTTAAAAAAAAAAAGATTAAAATTACTCTGAGTCATGGCTGGCCTTTAACAGCAGATACTAAAAGATATGGAGGCTGCCTGATTCAGAGCCAGTCAGTGGGAGTTCACCAGCAGATGAGGTAATGGCTCAAAGACAGGAGGACAACAGGACTCCTTTGAGACATCTGTGGAGCACCGGTGTGCCTACCACCAGGCTTCAGAGGGGGAAAAAAGTGTCCGACTAAAGCACAGAAAGGCAAAATGTGCAAGGGTACATATACTCACGTGTTTAAGAGTCACAGGACCAGAAAGGTCATCAGACCAGCCTTCTATCCACCTCTCAGAAGAGGGAAGCTTTGAAAGCAATGAATTCATCTCTTCCACTCCACATACCTCAGTTTAGTAAACTCATTTCAGAAAGATGCTGAGCTCTTACAAGGAGGTGCTACACACCCTTTACCACTGTCTGACCAAAGCAGCAGCTGAGAGCTCATAGGTTTCAGGACTGGCTTTGCAGATACTGAGAAGGGTCATACAACAAGCTAAATTTATACAAAGTGCAATGAAACTACCCAAGCCACGTTCAGGTTTGTAAGTTCACTATTATTAGTGAAGAAGAATGAATCAGAAACTCTAAACTGGATGGAGTCTTAATCTAATTCTTCTTCCATTATTTGTGCTTTATTCCAAATTCTACTCCCTTTTGTCCAACTCAAAAGAGTCCTGTCTTGGCCAATCCTAACATACTCTTCTATTTTAAAAGTTTTATTCCGTTGTTTCAAGAAAGCTTTTTGTTGCATTTAAAGCAACAAATGGAGACAAATCTCCATAGCAAAGATCTGTTCACTGGAGGTTAAGCATTTACTCTGACAAAAGCTGTTCTCTCCAACTTCCAAGGGACTGGGATATGATCTTTCCAAAACCACATGCATTTACCAATAAATAAGTTTGGATTAGACTGTATTAAAACATATGCACAGATTTAAAGCACCGGAGTGTCACAGATTCTTACTCCACAGCTCATGCAAGTAAAAAGAATTTTAAAAAAGAAAAAGAAAAAGAAAGACCAAAGCCTCAGCTAGGAACAGACCAAGTAAGTATCATAAAAGAAGTTTTGCACAAGTATATCAAAGCACTAATATTAGTGACATCCCTAAATACATTAGGTTACACTAAATTCCAGAGAAACAAAAGATTTAGCCATATCAGATACATGTTTTGATTTTTTTAAGTTAATATATAATTCATTCTTTGATAATATTATTCACTTGGACCCAACATCCACACTGCTTTCATACATTTTTACAGTTATATCCCATCTTTGCCTTAAGAGACTGACATCCTAAGGCGTGGCAGCAACCAAAGGCTCTACAACCCTTGTTTGTCAAATATAAAACTCCTTCCCCTTCATACAAGGGTGGAGAAGGAAGAAAGTTGTTGTTAAAATTAGGGAATTCTCCCTGTGAGCTTGCTGATTCCAACCTTGAAGTACTACAGGGAGATGGCTGGAAGCTTGCGTAAAAAAAAAATTTCCCTTGTTTTAAAAACAATAGATGCATAGAAAGTTGCTTCCTGCTTGATGGGTTTAGGCCTGTTGCTATGTTCAGCTGTGAAAAGAAGTCTGTTCCTTTAAAGAGTGATGAGGAGAGACACCATCTCAGGAATATTTGGCAGCTATCAAAGAGCTCATGACACGAAGAATAAAACAGCATATCCACAGACTACAATGATGCAACTCTGTCCCACTGAATACATCAATTTAAAAAAAAGTGTCCACTTGTTACTCAGGATCAAGAATACAGTAGAGATTCACGGCTCAACAGCTTTCAAACTGGTGGTTTAAAAGAAAAATAAAATTGTCAGTGAGCAGCAGATTTTAAATAGCCCACTCTTCTCTTCCCACCCCAAAGAAACACGAGTTCACTGCAACGTCAGGAACTTAAGACTTGAGATTACTTGGGAGAGAAGGCTTCCCTGTCACCCATGTCCATACAGCTTGGTGTCGGAGCGACACACTGGAGGTTTCAGAGGATTCCAGTTGTCCAGTGTCTTGTTGTGGTTACTTCAGCAGTTTTACCAGCTGGCTCTGACAGCCTCAATGTCACTAACCAAATTCTGGGCTAAGCATATCCCAAATATCTGGAAGAGACAACAGTTTATTCGTTTGGAGCATCGGACAACTCTTTTCACACAGGCAAATTCCTTAGGTTATACAGAACTTTGACAACAAGCAACAGGAAGTTAGAAAGCACATTAACAGTAAGTGGTGGAAGAAGGAAGAATCTTAAAAAAAAAAATATCCTGTAACCCCAGTATTTTTATAGTGCTACTGGGTTCTGTGAAATTGAACAGTTCTAGACTTGCTTCACAAAAGCAACTGTAAAGGCTTTTCATTGCTCATTTAAGCACCATCAGGAACAGCAGGTCTGTATAGGCTTAGATAAATATTAGGTAGAGATTTCTAACAGAGTGTTAATTGATAGGTAAAAATTAAATACTCCTGCCTCATAAATTTATCTCCCCTCACAAAAACCCAGGGACAGATTTCTAAGTGCAACTGACACAGTTTCCAGCTCTCATAAACAGCTCCCTCCCTCACATACTCTATTCATCTGCTGTTTTTCAGTGTAATCCATTAGAGGAATGTGATGTTTACCTGCAGCAATGCTATCCCAATGAATATACCGGCAACTATGGTAAGATTGTCCTGCAGCCATTTCTCAAACTGTGGGACACAGCCTTTAGTGTAGATAACAATCTGCTGATCAACTTCCTGTCAAGGAGAAAAGGGAAGAAAACAAAGATAATTACATTCAACTATCACATCAGTAGAATAACCTGCTCTTGCAGGAGGGATTCACATCCTTAAGATACCACATTAAAAAAACTAATATGCTTACTGGTTTTTGCCTTGCATCGTAGCCACACTGAGTATTGATAACATCTTCCTAGGAGAGAGAGACAGAAGAGAGGAGATCAGTGAAGCGTGTCCCAAACACCCTCTCCCAGCTCCCCAGAGTTAGTCCTGTATGTAATAGGACAATCACCCTAACTTTCATTACTATGTTGCTTTTTAAAAACCCCTTCGTTCTCTTCGATTCGCTGCTATTAATTATTTGTAGTAAGCAAAAGCACATGGTCAAAAAAATATTTCCAGCTCCCAGGGCAGCAAGCTGGGAAAATCCTCCCTCCACTGAGTGAGCAAAATGCTCCAGATGCAAGCATTCAGAAGTCAAAGTAAAGGGATTAGAGAACATCTACTTTAAACTAGAGAACCTTCTACTGAAAAGGTTTTCTCTATGCTGAAAAATATGCCAAGACTACTGTTAACATTTTCATGGTTCAGTCTGTGCAGTGTGAAGAAGTGAAAAGGGGCAGTTCTGTTGCAGAAGCTGCAGGTTTTTACTGAAGATGTCTGTAGAAATAGATACAGTACCTAGAGTTCCTTCCCAGCAACTAGGGAGGAAAAGAAGAGATAGGGTAATGTGTTCTTATTTATTTCTTTCTTATAGAAGCTTGATACCAACAGGAAAGGAGGAGGTTTTGTTCTTACTGCCTCTGCTTTAATACTCCCCAAAGCACAAGTAATAAAACAGACTATGGCAGACTTTTCCTAGTGAACAAGCACTACTTATCAGAATCCAAAGCTGCATTTCTCTGTATACAGAGTTATTTCAGGTCAATAAAACGAAGCAACTATTTTTGGTGTCAGACACAATGGCAGCAAAATATTAAGTCAGTGGCTCAGATAATAACAGTGAGCTAAAGAAGGAACTACTGGAGGAACTGAGAAAGTCAGCCAATCTTGGCTAGGTGTACTGAAAAACCACAATTTAATCAAATTGTGAGAAGTAAGAAAGGCAGCCAGCAGAGAAATAGATCTTAAAAAGCAGCCACATGGAAAAAACATTTCTCCTCCTATCAGCTAAAGCTCCCCTAACCATTTCTTCAATTTGCAGGAAGTAACATCAACGAGTCACATCCTTGCTTGAGTTGGAGTCCCTTGATGGACCTTTAAGATTTGAGCAATTTGTATCTTCTAATAAGATGAATATTTCTGTTCTAGAATCTAAACTATGACAGTGCCATGCACTTCAAGGCTTTAAAAATATGTAAGATTCCAACAGAGGGATTTTAAGCTTACTTCTTTGTACTGAGTGCCTACTTGCTTTATCATCAGTGTCTGCTGCCTTTAGCCTTGGAATCTGTTAACTGAAAGAAAGCATGAAGGAGGGGAATGGAAATAAATCAACTTTTTTAGTCCTTGTCTGTACAGGAATTTGGAGTATTTCAACCAGCTAAACCACAGCAAAATAAACCAGAGGAGTCTAAATTCATTTTAAAGGAGACTTATTTTGGCCTATCTTTAGCTTGTATCAGAAAGTGCTAAGTTTAACTAAAAGCACGTAGTGTTTAATAAAGCAACCATGTAACTTTTTGCATCAGTCCAACACTGCATCCTGATTCTAATGAGGTCACACATTTGCTTTCCCATAGAATAAGGCTGTGCTTATCACTGCAGTTGAACCAGTCACAGCTTGCTTACAATTATATCTGTTATATGCATGACTTGTCATATGCATGACTTGTCATATGCATGACTTAGACAACTAAGCACATTGCTGCTCTAGAGTGAGAATGAAAAGTATCTTCAAATTTATGATTGCTGTATTACCCCCTAAGAAACTGCATAACCATTACACCCAAAGAGAGAGATAGCTTAAGCATGGATTACCTATTTATAGGATTACCTCTTACTGCTGTCACTGGTCTGGTTTTAAAACAACTATACTTTTAAATCTGAGTTGTGATGACCTGTCTGGGTAGGTGGGCAGATAGGCCAACAGCAGGGGGAATCCTAATCATAAGCCTAACCTACATTTTGGTTTAATATTTCATTAAAACATTTTCAGCAATGTCTGTGAGAGATTCAGACGCCTGTGAAGACACGTTCACTGCAGAGGAACCAGAACGCAGCCTGTGCAAGTGGCAGCGCCTGATCAGGACACGGGGAGAGCAGCAGCAGTGACTGGATGTGGGAGCGACTGCACTGCATTAGCAATGCAGGAAGCACCTGAGGTGCCTGTTGGCAACTTGCCTAACTTTAGGCAGTGTTACAGACTCATACATTCAAGGAACTGCAAATCACTCCAGGTGGAGGAAAAGCCACAGCTGAACTACCAGACAAGACAAGCACTCGCAGGCTGCTGCTTTTAAGTTATATGAAAGTCAAATGCACACAGTGTTAGCCACCCCGATATACCCACCCATCCCGATATACCATGACTTTCACTGTCAGTAAACTGCTTCCCAACGCCTTACCCTTCATTCTTGATCATGTCTGTACTAGTAACACATGGCTCCAACATTTCCTATTTGATTATCCAGAACTGAAACTATTTTTAAAAGACACAATTTATCGAAAAGCTGTTACCCCAAACAATTTCTCACTTTAAGTCTGTTCTCAGGTGACTGTGGGACAAGCAGTAATTTTCAAGGGGAAAAAGAGAGTATGTAAAGACATCCATATCCAATTCAAGATTCTAACGCACACATATGTCAGTTCTTTAGGGCACACACTGTCATTTATCACCATACCTAGCACAAACTGGGCCAAACTGGTTGCAGCCTCAGGACACTGCATTAAAAAGTGAGTAATAGCTGCTTCAGAGTGGTTGATCTTAGAGCTGCTGTTCTTTAAGGCAGCAAATGAAATATTCTGATGATACTCAATTGAAAGCTCATATCCTTCAACTCATTAAGGGCTTCTGCTTTTTATACTTGCTAAAATGAGTATGTTCTCTCATTCTAATGAAAAGCAGCAAATAGCATAAAATAAAGACTTAAGCTAGCTCAGGATTTTTGCTGATTGCAGAAAAGTTAGCAGTTAAGCTGAGCTGCAAGCACAAAAAACCTCACACATTGATGAGAAAATAATGATTGTGGATGACTTCCAGAAAACAAAATTCCTATGTCAAGATTTAAAATTGGACTAGTAGACCCATTCTACCCTCCTGAGCGTCACTTACAGCAGGGTCTTTAGTGCAGCAAGAGAATGGCACACCACAGCGCTCTCGACTTGCATTGGAATCTGTGCAATTGAAGTAAATATTAAGGTTCCAGTCATCAGCTCCAAAAGCCCCACAGCACTGCCACTAGAACAAAGAAAGGAGAGATTCTTGACTTTCACAACAAACAAATTTCAGCATTAGTAACATGCATCATTGCTGTCAGTTTCCCTCTAGCTTTCAAAATAAAATCCGAGATTCCTTTTGGTTTCATTGAAGCTGGCTTGCTTTGTTTTTAAAAAAACAAACATTCCAAAGCCCTACATTGTTCTAAAATTATCATGTGATTAAAGTTATGTTCATATCCCGCAACTCTGCTCTGTGGAGAGAAACACATGGAGTGAGCTGATAAGCCTACACAACATCAGAGAGCTGCACAAGCCTACAGGCTCAGGTCCCAGGAATAGTAGAGCCAACAGTACAATATTATGTCCGGTCTAATGTGCCCTTGGTTGCCAACAAGTTGCTGATCAGGTGATCAGCTCCAAGGGCTAAACTGGTACAGCTACTCCTTTTGCCATTTTGAGGGAATCTTTGCCTGGTTATACACCAGACAGTATGAACACATAGTTTCCTGAGCATCACACAAATAACATCCTTACTGAAGGCCGGCAGAATTCTTCAGAGAATAAATACACCAAATGGCACGCTTAGTCTCCAATAAACATGCGGAACACACACAGAATTGGTAAAACTTGGTCAATATACAATGGACTGGAGATCAGCAGAGCATTAATGGTTTATAGTTTAAGGCGCTAGCCCAGTGAACTCTTGCATGTCAACTTAAAAAAATAAAAAAGCAAACCATATCACATTTTTAAAAGCATTGGCATGGCAATTCTCTCTTTCTAGATGTAGCACAGTTCCCTCTGCAATACCTGAACATGTTGCTTTCAAGCATTACCTCTCCTAGCTAAAAATTCAGCTTCCTCTCCAGACTCATGCTGTCCTGACTTATCTGCCTACGATCGCTAATTCAGTTAGGAAAGCAAGTTTTATGCAGTGCCTGCAAAACTGGACTGTAGCCTTTTGGATGCATACAAGTTGACCATCACTTTCAGACTGTAGTGACTGAATTTCTCCCAACTGGAGAAGATTAAAACCAGTGAAAGAATCTACATCCTGTTACTTACTCCCTTGTTACCTCCCCCACCCAACATATACAGAAGCATATAAAACATCAAATGAAATCATTTTCATTGCAGAATGTACAGAATTTAGTAAACACTATTTCAATGAACACTTAACCACAATGCCAAATTCAAAGAGGAGTTCATCAACATGGGACTGAATTGAGTACTGGAGCAAGAAGGTACTGGCCAAATAATTTATGTGCAAAAGTCAGTGCAAGACGTCTTTACACACACCAGTAAATTACAGAGCTTAACCTGCACAAGAGTGTCCATCTCTGATGTTTCCCCTCCTTCCCAAGCGCAGATACAGCATTATTCAGAGATTTCCTGCAAGAACTTTATGAGTTGCTCACTTCATTATGGTAATAGTATTAAGTCAAAAAGAAGTACCACTGTAGTTTCATTCAGACCATCTAAACATCTCTGCCACTCCACAGTGTGGTGAAGCACCTCTAACATTGCTAAAACTACACCAATATTCATCTCAGAACCAAATTAAGCTTAGAAAAGGATTACTTTTTTTACACAGATGTGATAGCTCCTATAATAAAATATTTTGAATACCTCTTCTCCCAAGAACCTTAAAATATCTTCATACATATATGGAATATACTCCAAAAACCTGAACACAAGACACTGATGGTTAACTTGTGGATTTGACACACACTATCTCTAAGTCTTCAAGAATAAGACACCCTCGTTCTCCACTTTGTTTTGCTCAGTTATACATCAACAAATAAGTCACTTTTCACAGAGACTGTGTGTTTGTAGGGGTTCTGTAAAGAAAAAACACACATATATACATATTCAAAAGTATTGTATGCTATAATATTTCTGTTGTTCCTTGAAGAAACCAAACAGATGGGAAGCAAAAAATAGAGTAGGTTTCTCTTTAAAGAAAGCTTTACAAAAAAACATAGTCCAACTTACATATTCCTGTGTGAAGTCTATGAGGTTTTGCAAATCAATGTCATCTCGGTATGCTCTGATGTTGTTGTTTATAAAGAAATACAGCTGGTCCTTTATCCAGTCTTTGAAAACAAATGCTAGAACCCCAGCAGTGAGCTCCAAGAAGAAAATAATTCCAAGAAACACAGAAAACTATGAAGAACGAAAAGGTTAACATTATTTTATGACCAAAACATTGCTTTCCAAGGCTCACAATTATGTCCAGTGTTAGGGCTTCATCTAATAGTTTTAATACAAGTTCAAACTATTCCCACACACAGGAAGTTTTAAATTAGGCCTGTAGTACAGGCCTCTTCATTCTATTCTAACAAGTAATAAAAATGCCAACAAATTTAAACATTAGACATTTCGCTAGGATTTTCAAAAGAGGTCTAATTTCAGAGATGGCTACTCATCACCTGTAAGGCCTTCTGAAAATTCAACTTACATTTCTATGTAGGCACGTACATTTTCAAAGGCATAAACAACCACCAGTTACAGTGAAATGCTTTCTAAGTGACTTTTGCTTTAGACCCCTCCATTGGTAAAGCTTTGCCTAAGCAGACGAAGCAAAAATTAGTAACAGTAGAAATTAATTAACGACCAAGTTGGAGCAGAATGTCTCTAGAATGACTCACATCCACATTAAAACCAAATGAGGCTGCTATGATTAATGCAAATGCAATGGATGCCAAAAGCATTACTAATGATCTGCCACTTTCTCTAAGCATCTCCACTGAGTCTACACTGTTTTAGAACACACAGGGGTCCTCGTATACTGGAAGTCCATCCTTTTTGCAACTGCGCCTTTGAGCTTCATTTTAATATGCTCTCTGCATTTGGATGCATTTTTAATTTCTCCTGCAGCTGCTGTATAGGAAGCTATTTCTGGTACAGCAGATGGGTTCATTTTAGGCAAGCTAAGAGAAGAAAAAAAGAGGGGGAAAAAAAAGGCGTTACAATAGCTTCCCCTCCCTGCCTTACACAACATGTCTGTGGGAGCCAAATATGTCACTAGAAGGCAGTTGTTTCAGTGGAAGCCTTTTCGTGTATGTATTAACAGTTAATGAAGACACAACTACTATCCAGGCTGCATCCACCTCCAGATGCTGGAATAGCGGAGGAAAGAATCATGAATTATTACAAATCTTATCTAAAATGGAACATGACACCATTATCCTCATCTGCAAAGCTCACAGGGGGAGTGCTTTCAAAAAACAGAACCAGGCTACTTAGCTGAAGGAGTTTTAAATACTGAGGTATGTTTGTCTATCAGCAGCCCAGAGTTCAAGGTGACAACTTCTATTTTCTTTACCTATCCTGAGCACGTTCTTTTCTCTTTCTCCTTCTCAGGCCCCAGCACTGACAGTAAGAAACAAAGTCTTTTCAAATTAGCTAAACTGGACAAGAACTGAGGACATCAGCAAGCAACCCCTCATAGCACTGCTACCTCCTCTATGACATGAGGGGCATTTGCACAGCAGAAGTCACACAGGTCACATTCAGTGGTGCATCTACATTCCTTGTATACCATAGGCAGCATGCGATGGATTCAAATCTCAACATACAGATTCTAAGCAGAAATTTCTCTTTTTTTGTGACAGAAAAATCAAAATGTTAGGTTATATCCATATGAAAAGCAATAGTTCCATGTTATGATTCTTAGCATTTGAACCCTAAAATTCTTAGCATTTCAAACTCTAAAACCACCAAACACTAAGCACCAGAGACTGAAGAGCTGTGAGCTGTTAACAGTTAAGCAAAAGTGATTCACAGAACAGTACACTCACATCAGACAACACTTTCTGCTCCTAAAAAAGACATTGTAAAAATCTTTACAGTTAAGCACAAACAGAGAATGTCTTGTGTCATGTAACTGATGAACACCACAGTTGCAAAGGATACTTACAAACTTGAGAAGAAAGGTATTTTCTCGCAAAGCTCCAATGCATCCCGCAAATCCCAAAACAAACATAACTCCTCCTACCACGAGGAAGATCCAAACTGGATCAAAGCCGCCCAGGTCAGTGATGGAGGAGATATTGGACAGCACTCCCTAGGAAAGAAACAATGTCAAGGGATAACAAGTTATGTTCAACTTTTAGGTGTACAAATTCTGCTTGCATTTTTCTCATTACAAAGGCAGAAGACTACAGCAAATAAACATTCTGCAGTACAGCAAGAAAACAAAAGTAAAAATAATTCCATTTAAAAAAAGGCATTAAAAGAGTAATTAAGTACAATATTTCTGAAACAGCATGTGGAACAATAAAATGCACTTCTGGAGTCCTCTGTGAGAAACCCATAGGGCATTTTGCTGCTTCTGTAGCTATGAGAAATAATCTGCCAGAAAGTCAGAAATTTGAATAAAATTTAGATTAATCTTATCACCCATGCTGAGATACATTTGAGGTATCATATACACTGTTCATGGAAGCACACAATTACACATGCCATGATAAAGTAGTCAACAGCAAAAACACCACCTTGAATTTAGTATTTATGCTTAGTATTTACAATTGACAGAAATTAGAAGTGAGGTCCTAGGTCACAGGATCTTGCAACAATGAATTTTACATAAAATTCTGACAAACCAGATACCCAGCCAATTCAGCTTTAGGCATCTATAGTGCCAAAACCTCATTGTATCAGGTACAGCTACTGACTAATCAGTTAGCAGCAAAAAATTGAAAATAATGTTAAATCTCTCAGTAGGACATAAGGCAGTTTAAGGACTTGTGTCAGGAGATGGTTTACACTAACTTAGGTTAGACCTATCACACGGCAAATCACATCTGCTGTGTTTTAAACATGACAGTCAGCACAGTCTGCTTGTAATGCCATTGCCCCCTTAGAAGCAGAGCTTGGGTTGTGATGCCAACACTCCTGAGGAACTATTTTATTATTTTGAACACATTCTAACCAGAGTTTGGCTGATGCTGAACAGATGGGCCAAATCAAGAACTAAGTATAAATTCTTCCTTATTCCAGTGAGTTTGCACAGGAACAGTTACAGATCCCTGAAGCCTTTTGGCAGCAAAAAAAGCTGAAGTATGACTATTTCTGTATTCACCTCCCCAGTGCTGTAGGTCAATACAAAGCACACAGTTGTAGCAGATGCTTCTCCGTTTCCTCAAAGAAGACTGAATCCAGGCTGAGTGCTTTGGACAACTGCTTTTCCCACTAACTCTTGAAGTTGTGTCTTAAAAAGCATTATATAGAGACCTTTCCTTCCCTTCATGGTTCCTTACATGCAGAATTATTCATCCTTTTCTTTTTACCTGTTCACAGCCCCTTTCCTTCCTTGAAATAGTCCCAAGCCAACAATATTTTTGAAGGAAGTTGTCATAACCTCATTTCCAAAAATTATTAGCAACATGTATTAACAGATGACTGTTCACAACTGTGGCTTTAGATCTATGGTTTCATTTAATATATGCTCAGTTTGGACCACTCAGAACACATAATAGTCATGTAACTAATATCTCTATTAGAGTACTCCGTGTAGTCTACAACCATTTGCAGTTTTCCAAGCAAAACTGAAATTGAGCTAGTAAGTAAACAAAGGCAACACTCAAAACTTTTTAATTCTGCAGACAATAGACTGAATAAAATATACATGTGAATTTCTTCAATGCACACAGAAAGGAGCTGTGGAAAAGGTCAGCACATTAAAAGCAAAAGAGAACCCTGACTACAACCCAATCCTAAAGTATGAACAATAAATCAACAGTATGAACAACATGCCCAAACTGGATTCCTCACCCTTCAACTACAGACAGCTATTTCCTGACAGTCGGAAAAAAAATTTTTTTAAAAAACATATTTATCACTTTGCTCTTGTATTACATATAGTACTACCCTTACTGTCATTCATTAAAAAGACTAAAAAAGGTGTAAGGCATGATATAACACAATGCTGCTCAGACCCGATATCAAAACAGACTGGGTGGCACTTCCCTTTAACTAGCAAAGAGATGGTACAAGCCAGGCTGAAGTGAACACTTACCTGTCATTAATATTTAAACCAACTTGTGCAAAAGTTTTCCACTACTTTCACTTCATTACATTTGTCATAGAAAAGAGATCAAAGACATAACTTTCTGGCTAAGAATAACAAGCAAAATAAACAACATAATCCAGTAACACAAAAACCTTTGAAAAAGTCATGGCCTTGACCATACACAAGTCAGAAAACATGAGCTGGACGAAAGGACAAAAGAACGCTAAAATGATGTCTTTATAAATTTTTTTAAGTCCTTTCTCTGTACTCCCTCTGTGTTTCCAAAAGATAAGATGTTCTACATTAAATTAACACTACTATTAGTTTCATCTAACATCAGCTGATTTTTGAATTAATGGACTGTAGTGTAGTAGAGTGAGAAAACAGCTACTGGAAAAACAATGTTGCCTTTGTATTATAATTATTTTACTAAAAAAAAAAAACACAAAACAACAAAACAAAGCACCCAAACCCAAGAATGACGATGAGTCATGCAAGTCTCTCTCCCTAAAACATTTTGTCTTTCTTTAAAACAAATGAACAAAAACACACAGCCAAACAAAAAAAATCCACACACAACAAATTACTATGTTTAATTAATTTCTTTCCATATGGAAGTAGTAAAATTAAAACAAAAGACGAAATCCAAGTAAAATTCAACTCACATTTGTGGACAGTACTCTTAGAGAAACTAGTCATAATATTAGGAAGCATTGGTGAGAAGAAATACACCACTTTGCAGTTTGTCACACTTCTGTTAAAAGTTGATGACAATAAAATATAGTGAATGAGTTGTATGTTGTCTTTCTGATCATATCCTTTACCACTTTAATTGATTTTCTAGCACTGCCAGGCTCTCAGGACCCTGCTATGCCACATGTTGGCTGATGACCTGACAAGAGTCACCCATCTAATCTCTGGTCTCTTCCAGGCTCCAGCTCCTCAGGGTAGCTATGATCTGACATGCTGAAATAGAATACAAGCTTTATCTGCCATTACTTGCTGTCCTTGCAAAGAACCTTTATGCACATTTTTGCTACAGCAAATCACAAGTCTAGCTTGGGTAAACCCTAAACAATACATCCCGACAGTGCAAAGCACATGCTGGGTACTTGTCATCTGTGTGTTGTCTGCATGTGATTCCCAAGTTATCAGTATTCTAGAGGGACATCTCAGGATATACAATCTTCACAGAGGCTTTGGCAATAAAACAGGAATGACAAACAGAGACAATGCTCTGTGGTTACAGCTAGAAATGCAGAGATAGTGTGACAGAAGACTGCAGTTTACTGCTCAAATACATTTCTCTAGTCTTGTTTTAATTCTGGACACTTACAAATAGACTCATTGAAGAGACAGCAAAATAACACTTAAAAGTCTGCTTCAAGCAGCAGGGCAATGACCAGGGAATATCATCTCACTTCACACTGTTAAGAAGAACTAAACATGCAGTTCTACAGGTACATGCTTTTCCTACCCACCAAAAGTTTCTATAATGTGTACTACCACAGTATTCAGTATTTCTATCTTCAATCCATCTTCAGCCAAAAGCAAAAGGGAACATTTCCAGAGGTGCTTGAGCAGAGCATAAGGAATCTTATATCCTAACACTGCATCCTCCAGTGACACACTCTGAAATCTTCAGGCTGACCAGTCAGTCACTCAGAATATATGGTGACTGTTTGGCGACTGATCTCTTGCATCAATGGCCTAAAGAAACCATCTGTGAATCCTCCACAGTCCTTCTACAAATACAAAGTATTTTTCTCAGCAATAGTACTGCAGTTGCAAGTACTATTGATGCTTGAGCATCTGAAAGGAGGAAATAATTTTTTCCCCCTAAACCAACAATCTCATTTTGGAATTACGGTGATTTTTCTGGGATACAGGCATATAACTTTCTTGGTAGTTTATGCATGTGTGTAATCTTTATTTGGCTACATACAATTTCAAAGCTACATACTCTAATACTTTTCACGATGGTGTCAATCCAGGGCTCTGCTGTAGTCCCACAAGGAGAGCCAGGAGGACATGTTCCCTGGCTGATCTCCAGCTCATCTGTTTGCACTATTCTCCCACCCCCAATTGCTTGCCATACGTTACAGCGCCTGGGTTATTATTTAACCTTTTACTCCACCACAAGGCAAAATTTATTTTGGGTAGCGAAGTAACAAAAGCACTATCCATAATTTAACTAAATCAATAATGGTGAAGTTACAAAAAATGTCCCTTTATTTATGAAATGTACTTCAATCAATGGATACAATGATTTAAGGCACTGAACCGGAAAGATTGACCTCATATTCCTACCCTACCCCACCCCAAATTCAGGAAAGGAAGTGAAACAGTAGGACCTGCAGCTTTCTCCAACAGAAGGGTGAGAGGAAGAGGCTTTGCTGTGGTGAATTCCACCACAGCAAGAAATAAAAAACAACCAAGCCAGGTCCACAAGAAGCTCCTGCAGAACTGTAATCTACTCCTCATGATATGTGAGCACAAGCAGAAAAAAAAGTCTGAGATGCTTGAATCCAGGGACAGATCCTCTGTTGGCATGCCATGTTCTTCTTATGGCCAGAGCCCTCCACCCTACAAGCTGGATCTCATGCATAGCTCAAAGAAGAGTAAGGCAAAGGAAAAATCCTGGTCTTGAAGACAGTAACCTGAGAAGGCCTCTCCTGATATTACATCTGCACAATTGTTTGCCTATATCCCATAAATAAAGAATGAGGAAGCAACAGCCACTTAGAAGAGGAATAAGGGTGCACGTCTCACTTCTCCTCCACCTTATACTCTTTTAAGATTATCAGGACAATTTGTACTACAAACAGAGACAGATCTCTGACTCCAGCTCTCACCTTCAGCACACATCTACATCAGCATTTCAGGTCAGATCCAGGAGTCCATTTAAGGGGAACAGTCTCAGAGAACGCAGACTAGATAACTGACAAATGAAAACATGCCCCTGGAACATAACTCATGCTCCAACCACCAGCAGGCACTCAGTCCACGAGATCACACTAAATCTAGGCTGAAGAAAACTCAGACCTTTCAAA